CATTCCTGCATAGTTTATCTTGGTGTTTGTATACAGACTCTTTAATTTTGGTTGGAGTTATTTTGCACTGTCCACTAAGGGATTTTCTTTAGTTGAGGCCCAGCCAGTAGACAGGCAACCAAGTCAGTGAATGCTCAAAGCCATCTTCTGCCCTGAAACCATCCCCTCTACACCCAGTGCTGTCTATTTTACAAATCTGTACCAACCATCTGTTGGACTCTTGAAGGGCACCTTGGGCTACCGCCATCTCCCCTGGTGTGGATTTGCTGTTGTTTGGGACCTTTTGGCAGAGCTCACACAGGCCAAATATAACATTTGTTCATGGCTTGAGTCTGATTTCAGTAGTCTCCAGGTGCTGCCTTCACAGTGCAGGTGATTGTATTTTGTATGCAGAGGGGAGGTTCTAGTGTCTTATGCGCCACAGACCAGCTGGCATTTTTGGCTTGAGTTATTGCTAATTTTCTTTTTAATAATTGACAACAAAGATCTTGACTCAGCTGGTGACGTGCTGTGCCTTACCCCACAAGTGACTGTGAAACGTGGGATTGGTGGAGCTGGAAGGATATTATCTTCTCTACAATGACCTCATTTCTGCTGTGCAGACAGTTGCTTTGTTGTGTGGAATGGATGTTAATGCAGGTTTAATGACCATATATGATTGAAATCAGAGCATCAGAATGACGACAGTTGACTGTACTGTCATAACTGGCCTACCTCCTTGCTGGTTTGGAAAGGGCCGAGTTGTGTCTTGGTTCAAAGCACCTCCCCAAATCAGATCTATTTATGTCCTTTTCCCTCTCCCAACCATGTCTTCCTAGAAGCTGTTCAGATCTGTGGACTGGTGTCCTGAACCCAGTGCCAGGCCTCCACACCTCCTCATTCATCTCCCACCTAAGGAACCCCTTCTTCTCAGAGGCTTGCAAACAGTAACTCAGGCCACTCAGACACTCTCTGTACCCCAGGTTTTTACAGGAGGAAAAGTAAAATGAAACAAAAGAAACAGTTCTGAGTTAATGTCTTCCTGTGGATCTTCTGCTGCAGCTTTTATTCCTTTTAGATTGTAAGCTCTTTGGTGTAGGGACTGTCTGTATTAATCCTGTCAAGAGCGGAAGGGGGCATTGTTGGTGCTTACTGAATGATGAACGATAGGTTGCATGCTATCATTTGACACTTCCCTGCTGATTCAGAAATGTGCCAGTAAAACTGCATTTATCAGGGAGAGAATTACAGGAACACATTAGGTTGAGAGATGGTCACATCTTTCTGTGCTTTTTAAATGTTCTGTGGTATTCTTATTTTAATTGCCATATTTAAGTGATGTTGATTCAGGGGGGTGGGCAAAATGGCAGATCCAGCCCACAGCAGATGAGCCAGGGTGCCCAGGCAGCAGGGCTGTGTCCAGACTTCCTTTCCTGGCAGCCCCTGCCCACACAGCTCTTGGCTGGGATCGTGGGGCTGGAGCACAGCTGCAGTGTGCTTCCCACACACCCCTGTCTGCAGAACCAGGGCTCTGCCCCAACCCCGTGCTGTCACAGCCCCATGATCCTAGTGTCTCCATGGACAACAGTGGGGAGCTGCCCTGGGACAAGGGCCGGTCTTGGGGTGGTGATGGCATTGGGTTGGGGTCAGGTCTGGGGCAGAGCCGCAATCTGCTGCCTGCGTGCCCCTGCCCACAGAATTCAGCATCATTGCAGGAGCATGTGGGCAAGCGGATCATGGCTCTACCCTGGCCCTGCGCTGTCACCACCCCAAGATCTCAGGGTCTCCCCAGCCCAGCCCACTTGTCTCACTCCTGGCCATGTGCCATGCCTGTGTGGACCCCACCCCTGGTGGTGGGTGCAGAGCAGATGGATCAGGGTGCCCAGGCAGCGGGTCTGCATCCAGCAGCTGAGTCTGGCAACAGCAGCCAGAAGGAGCTGCTGCCACAGGAGCTACTGGGAAATGGGGTTGACCACCCCCGCCCCCCCACCATTTAACAGCTGGTGGTATATACCACTGCACAGCTCTAAAACTACAAGCAGATCCCACAACACACCTTTGTGTTGGCTGCAAACTGCAGTAGACATTTTATTGTCAATAGAACTCAGTAGGCAGGTGATTTTATTAAGCATTCAGAATCTGTCCAGTGCTAATTCCCTGGCATTTATCCCAACACAACGAGACTGACACCCATGCAGGGTTCTAATGGACTTCTTGTACTGCTAACATATGTAAATTAGGTGATTTTTTGACTGGCTGAAGCTTTTATTAATTTTTAAAAATTTAATCAGTGCCTACCTGGTCAGATGTAGAGCAGTGTAACTGGCATCGCTGCGTCTTTGATGTCTCATGATATGGCACTGAAGCTTCCAAAAGCAGCTCACTGCTATTCTACAGCAGTATTTTTTTCCCCTGGCATAAACGGGGAAGTTGATTTATATTATGGGAAGAAAGACTATTTGTAACCCCATTCCTTGAAGCATACGTTGAGGTTGATAGCACTGTTAAGTGGAAAACAAAGGTGATAGACTGGTGCTTGTGCCAATATAGCAGGTCTGAAGATGATAGTGGGTCAGTGCTTAGCCAGTGGTGTTCTGTTGAGTATGACTTACCCTTAGCATGCAGTATTGTTGCTTTTTAAGATGTGGTGATGAGAGAAAATATGGTTATGCAGACTTAACCCTAATATAATGCTTTTTGTGGGGCAGAGGGGATTATGTGTAGGGTGAAGCCAAAAAAATTGCATATAAGTACAAATATTCTCAGGTTTTGGATTTTTTTTCTCCTTTAATTACTTTTCCAACAAGTGATGGTCTGTCTGACAGCTCTGCAGCCATGACACCAAGTTGCACTGGAGGACAGCTGCAGGTGTGAAGAGATGACATTGTACCTGGAGTCCAAATCAGGATCAGTTTTGCCATGCTTTTGGGAGTGTGGCTGGTGATCAACCCTGGTTCTATGCTGCTTGGTTTTTACCTGCTGGAAAATTTGAAACAATCCACCTTACTTTTCAGCTCCATACCCTGAAACCCTCCACAGGCTGTCTTGTTTTGACTGTAACTACAGCTTACTAAAATTGTACTTGCAGTCAACATCCATCCTCACCTCAACTATTGAAAAAGTTAAGTGTAGCCAAAGGTCAGAGAAAACTCCCAAGTCATCTCTGTCATGAGGAAATAACTTTTAAAAGTTATTTTAAAACATTCCATTTAAAAGGGAGGTCTAAGTATTAGGCTTAATTAAAGGTGACTTTCAGGAAGGGCACATGTGAGGGTTGAAAATGAAAGCAGCAAGAGTGTGGCTAACTTCCCGAAAGAGTGTGGCTACCTTCCTGTTGAATGTTAAGAGGAATTTTCATATTTGTTTGTCCTGTCATTTAGGTTAAATGGATGCATAAGTGTATGGTAGTATATCTGCTTCTTCACAGAAGTAGTTCAATGCCCCGTTATTATACTTGAAGACTGTGCCTCATCCAGCCAAGATCTTACATATGGGCTCAGTTTTAAGCAGAAGAATAATCCCATTAATTTAGTTTCTTGCATGTGTTTGCCTTGCTACATTGGACCTAAGTGTATGTGTGTTGCACAGTGATTTTTTTTTTTGTTTTTTGAAGAGACTGTACTAGTGGTGACAGTGAAGAAAACGTGGATATGAATGCCTTTTATTTGGACTCCCCTTGCTGTTTGACATCCACTCAAAAGGGAGATGGGCCCCAGAGATGTGAGAAATTCTTTGATGCAGACCTGCCATTGGATATCAGTAACTTGTCAGTGATTCAGCCAACAAATAGGTGCTACAGTCCTACTGCCAGCCAAGCCAGTAATACGCTTCATCAGGTGCTACACTATTTTGGAGTTGCTAAATACCTGTGCATATGTTTTTGTGCCACAGTGGCTCACTGGGTATTTCTTACTGTGTATTATGGATTATTAAAAGTAATTTCAGTTAGAAATTACTGTCCATCTTCACTGTTATCAAAGTGAAAGGCACAGATACTATGTTTCCGTGCCTCTGCATGGGCAATGAAAGTAAACTAGTCAGTTAAGTCATTTTCCTTTAAGTTTCCCCAAATGTGTTAGCCTGATGCTGAAATTTGGGGGATTCAAAGGCTATGGAGTAATTAACACAGGCCTCCAAGCTGGTGCCAGCCTGTGGAGTAAAGCCAGAGGATCTGCCCTTTTCATCAGGAACTGGGTGACAAAGATCTAGCCATCACTAGTCAGACCCTGTAAATTGTGGGATCTGAAAATGGCTGGTGCTGCTATTCAAGGGTGATGGGCAGATGTTGTTTCTTTTTTGTGCTGCCTGCATCAGCTGGTTGTTACTGGCACTGACAGTGTAAACTCCTTCCCATATCTGTTTGCATTCCACTTTATCAGTACAGTTCTGCTGCTGCCTGATAATAATCTCCTCCAGCACTGTTTGGGTTCCGTATTGCTGGCTTGTGGAGGAAAGATATAGAGCACAGCTTTATTTTTCTTCTGATACAAACAGGGGGGTTGAGCTTTCTGATGATATGAGCAAGAATTTAGTTCAGTGCCCTTGTAGAGGGAGGCTGCAAATCAGTCATTCAGATGAGAGTAGGGGAGAAGTGTCTGCTTGGGAATGTAGGAGTATGCCTCTACTCCCAGATTAGACATCAAGCCACTATTCTGTTAAATCATCAGTTGGGTTTGTGGGAATCCCTGTTGGGTCTTGAAGTGAATCACAGCCCTGCACAGCACCTTATGCAGCATGTTTTAGGCTCACCCTGAAGAATTAATAGACATAAGATTAAGATCTAGAGCTAAGAATTAGGCCTGTCTAATCCTAGAGATAGAGATGTGTTTACATGAGTATGGAAAATAGAGGAGGAGGCCAGCAATGGCATTTGGAGTTAAAACCAGCTGGCTGCCCTTTTAGCAGCTGCCAAGACAGATTTCCTTGTTTAAACTGTAAATAAGTTTGCTGCCTCTTCAGTTGTTGGGAATGCTAGCTTTTGTCTCCTAGTTGCCTCCAGCCATGGTGATGTGCAACTGCACAGACCTTTTAATAGAAATAATAAGAATTAAACTGGTAATAACAGAGTCTGCAAAAGTGCTGTGCAGTGCAAGGTACTTCAAAGGTAGAGGTTAAAGTAAAAAATGCAACTGGCAGCAGTTCATGTTTCATAGTGAATCCATTCCAAAGCAGTCACCCAATAACTTTGATTCAATTTCTGTTTCTTCCAGGACTCCTGTTCACCGACAAGCAGGCTGCAACGCTTGCTGGCTGAGTCTCGACAGATGGTTGCCGATCTGGAGCTTAGCCGCCTCCTCCACGATAGCCCTGGTTGCACTCCCAACAGCAGTTGTGTTAATACGGTATTTAATCTTTTCATATGGGCGATGTGGGGAAGTTACTGTGAACATTCCCTTCCTTTGGCTTGATCCTCATCATGACGCTATAAACAGTGTACTCCCAGCACTTTGCTGATGAGGAAATTATTGCATACTTGACAGTAAAGTGTCTGAGCCAAATTTTTCCCCTTCTTGCAACCCCAAAAACTCCCCCAGGTCCCAGTAAACCTTAGTGTGAGTGTCTAAGTGAAAAAGCTGTGCAAGAAGTAGAAGCAAAGGACAACACAGAATTACCCTATTTAATCTGTGTACACTTGTGGATGGAGAAGTGGTATCTGATATGCATATGTTTTTTATATGGGTATAAATAAGAGTCAGCATAAGTAGGGTTAGGTTTTCTATATTTTCATTAATTCGTTCACTGTAGGATTAAGGATAATGAGTTAAGTTTTAATGACAGTCCATGAAAAAATCTGTGCGCGGTTATCACAGTTGTTTATGTATTAAGGTATCCCATTCTGTCTATGGAGTATTGACACGTTTGACTTGTGAAAGAGACTTTCCAGTTGGCACCGTTGTTTTGGTGGCTGTAGAACAAACAACGCAACTTTAGTCTAGTTTTAAAATATTTTTCTCTCCTCTCTGTCAAAAAAGTACCCAAAACACGTTTAACAGGTTTTTGCCCAGTCTGCCCCAGTCAGCTAATTTGTGTGAAAACTGATGGCATGAGAGGCTGTGTTAAACTGGTTCTGAAACAATTTGAGGCATGGTTTGACACCAGCCCAACATAAGCATTTGGCTATGGGAGGTTTGTTTCTGCTGGGTTATGTTCTCTAATGGGTTCAGTTATTTTCTTCCATCAGCAGGAGCAAGTGCTATAGCTGTATACGAATGGTTGGAGATTATTATATTTTTCTAGACATCAGTGAGGCCATCTTTTTGCAAATCGTTCTTCTCTTGAGCCTTTTAGTTCTCAGTTTGACTCCGCTGCCACAGTTTTAATCTTTACATTGTAACTGTATCAGTGACTTATATGAAAGAGTCTCTATAACGTAACATTGTATTTGGTGCCATCTCAGCTGCACAGTGTTCAGATGGGGTTGAATAATGTGTGTGCCATCTCTCAAGTGAGACAGAAAAAGGAGCCTGGGGTAGGGAGCCTATAATTATTACTGTTTCCAGTTAGAACTCTGCAGTAACATTAGTGTTTATGATCCACCATGAAGTCTGTACATCTGTACATAGGGTGTCTGTCTTGTTTGTGTTACAGGCTATAGAAATTACAGAAGCTCTTCGCAAAGCGCAACTGCCAGCTGCCGAAGAAAGCAAGTCCAAGCTTTCACTGTTTTCATTATGACCTTGAGTAAGTCTGTTTTTTCTGTCTTGCTGTTTGCTTTGAACTTTTTTGCAAACCTACCTGCAATGCTAATAAAACTACAGATTTATCCACTGCAGATGGGCCTTGACACAAGGCTTCAAGTGTTTTCACAATAAAATCCATATAAATGAGACAATATAGTAGCAAGCGGATGTTAGATAATGCACCCAATAACTCCTAAGTCAATCAAGAACAAAAATTTCCTCAAGTATTCCCCTCAGAAAGTCTGACCATTGAGGTCTTGCAGCTTGAAGTCCCAATCTGCCATTTCTTCCATGTGGATTGTGTGCCGTGCCTCTTCAAAGCCGTGTGAAGTGAAGGTATGTCAGGTCTTCCACATGCAGCAGATTATAGGATCATGGCCTGGGGCATTATTGGATAAACATGGTGGAATGACTGCCAGACAAATCCTCTGTTTCCAGCCCCCAGGTCTCCAAACCTAGAGACAGTTGAAAAGAGCTGATCTTAAGTATGAGGACACAGAGGCGCTGCCTCAAAGTCTTGTCCACAGTTGGTTGGGTTTTTTGATCAAAACAACTTCCTCTATTGCTACCACCAGTCTAACTTCACTAGTTGGAAAATTAGTGGAAACAGCACACGCAAAAGACATTTTAGGCATCATGTTGTTGAGACCTGTGCTCATGGGTGAGATGTGATTAAAACGCTAGCAGCCATCCTGACCCCAATCAGGGAAAAGGTTGGCAAAAACTCCCCTCATGTTACATGTATCAGAATGTTTGTCTGCCTAGGAAAGATGACATACAATAAGGATGTGAATCTTCTCTTTGCAAATGCTCAGTACGCACTGCACGTTCAGGCTGAGAGTGTCTCTGGATCAGGTAATCTAAGTTACCCTGGACATTGTGTGGACACTAAGCTTGTTCAAGGAGTTATGCTGAAGTAGCTTGTGTCCTGCAGTTTCAAACTAAAGCTTGCTAAGCACAAAGGACTTGTTTACATGTGGGAATGATTCGGCAGTAAGATAGGGTGTGAATTTATGGAGTACTAGTTACTCCTGGCTAACTCCTTGGCTGGACTCTTACTGTGCCATAAATGTGAAGCTGCTTCTTCTGCTGACTCTATACTCATGGTATACCTACCCTAGCTTATTTCTCAGTACCTTCCCTGTGGAGACAAGCCCTGATGCAGATAGGGTACCTAACCGAGTAAGGACAATAGGGATTAAAAGCAACACCTTAATTTGTATCCAAAAACGAGCTGGAAACAAGGCTGGCTCTAGGGGTACCAGGTATGGGTCTCAGTCCTGAGGAATGCTGAACACCATAGTCCTGATCCATAAAGTGTCTAACTTTACATGGATGACCTCAGTGCCTTCAGCCAGGAAAAAGCCAGACAGACCAAAAAGAAAAGGACTTGCCTGCAAATCGCTGTGCATTCTTAAGGAATACCCCACCAGCTATTGCAGAATTCCTTTGAGTTACCACTGAAGTCTCTGGTAGAAATGTGCATAACTAAATCAAAAGGAATCTTCACAAAAAGTCCACCATAAGCCCAGGGATGAGTGAAACATTTATTTGTACAATTATTTTTACATTGCTTTGAAATGCTCAAGTGGAAGGTGCTGTATAAGTTATAGAGGTTACTTTCCTCTCTGACTGCCAGTTTTTGGTGCGCTCAGTCATCTCCTTTCCACTAGATGAGAGAGTGATTTGGAGGGAGTCTTGAAGCCCCAGAAAGGTGAAAGCAATCGCAAAATGGTGCTAGAACTCCTTTGGCAGCTGTGGCATGTGCCACTGCTTGTAAATCCTGACTGTTTTGGTGTCAAAGGGTAAAAGGAATTGGCCTTGTGCAATGTGAGAATTGCTGATATGCTCAGAGGTAACGCAGAGGTGGAAAGAGCTTTTCTAGCAACATGCCTGTGATGTCCCGAAGGAAGCCTGCTCATGGGGGCTCCCCTCTGGACATGAATGTATTATCTATTTTGTCTTTATTGCCATTTCTATTACACTTCCAAAAGGAAATGAGGATTTGTAACCTAAAAAAAGAGTTACCAGTAACTTTCCAATGGTTTTAAATGAGGTTTTTTTCCCCTTCTGTCAAAACCAGGTTGCTTTCCTGTTGTCTGGAAAGCAAGAAAATGGCACCCTTTGGAAGGAACATGGGAGACGTCCTGATGCATTGCCACAAGCTTTGAGAACTGAAGATCGTCACCACGTATGCACTACAGGAGACAATTGCTTAACATTTGCCTGTGCCTCTGAAGAGTACTGTATTTGCAAGTTTCCCGGGTGCCAAAAAACTGTGACTGCATGCTGGAAGCTAATGTGTTTGTGAAGCAGAGCTCTGAATTATGCCAGCACAAACAACTCCCTTTGTGAAATCCATCCTCAGGTTAAGGGGTAGCTTACTGCCTATAAGCAAGACTGTAAAATATGTAATTGTTTATTCCCTTTTTTGTGGTTATGTGACACACCAGTGTTCACTTTTTTTTTTTTTAAACCAATTGTTTTATTCTGGACTGTTGCCGCCTAAGGAGGCATTGAATAATGTTTTGGGGAAATTGCTAATTAGTGTCGCAACCAGGAAATGCCTCCTACGATGCTGAAACTGGAGAACCTTCATCCACAGAATGAGCAAAATAACCCTCCCCTGGTCCTGGGCTATTTATTGTAACAAAAGGTTCTTATTAGCTCAGATGTTTGTATAGACTTTTTAGTAGGCTATGACAACAGCCATTATTTAAGGTACACAGCTCTTTTAAGTAGATTAACTCTATTTTTCTTATCTTCAGTCTCTCAAGACCTGAAATGTTCTGAAAATAATTTGAACATAAAAGGCCATATGAGCTAATAAACACGATACATTTGCTACTTACTGTCTTGCCTGCATATCTTCATTTCATACTTGACACATGCTTATTTTACTAAGGCTCTGTAGGACGTGTGATGCAGGCTTCCAGGCTAGCCTGCATGCTTCGTGGCTGCATCTGCAGCCCTGGCAGGAGGCAGGAGTCCCTGCTTCTCGATTGCACCTGTGCAGAGGATGAGTTTTAAGCAGTCTTCCAAATTCACTTGTGAAGTCAGTACCACCCTCCTTCCTCTCTACTCCCCCACTACCACTGTTAAGTGATCTAGACTCCATTTTCAAGGTATTGTTAACTGATTACAGTGGGGCACAGGAGGGCAAAGAGCATAAGCACTAAAACCACACAGCTAGCTCTATTGTATGATCTATACACAGGTTTTACCCTGATGGGTTCCTAATAGGTCAAATAAATGCAACTTTTGCCACATACTTTATCAGTGTAGAAGTGTTTTATATCTGCCTAACTCATTAAGAGAAGGTGAAAAAATATAAGCACTTCAAGTGTATTTTAAATTAGCATAACCTTTTACGTTACCTGCAGTGTTATGTAACTATTTAGTAAATGGATTAAAAACTGGATATAGAAAACTTGCAGGAGGTTAGCACTATGGTTGTACCCTGCATGCTTTTTACAGAGCTGTCACCTCTCCCACCTCCTTGCCACTGTATCTTTAATCTACTTCAGAACATCGTTTGTTGAGGTACAGGAGAACTGCAATGCCCGACAACTGCAAGAGGTGGGAAGTTAGGGTTAAAGTATTAGCATATTACCTAATGTACAAAACAACCCTGTTATCAACTGTGCTCTGAGGCTTTGTATGGAAAGTCAAACTATATCAGCCAGCTAAGAATGGGACTTATTTTTGGAAACATGACAAAGTCAGGGTGTGCCTTTTCTATTGTCTTCATAGACTATACTGTTATTAAAGGAAACAAGGCTTCCATTTAACAGCTGCCTGCTTTCAGCTTGGGCAGAGGTGTTCTCTTGGGTTCGGCCTGTCTAATTATAGGAGGGAAGCAGGTAGCAGTGAGGTTCATCTCTCTTTTTAGTAATGTGTACACTTTCCATTAATGTACATGGTATAGAGAAACAAAGTTGATAATCAAAAAGTGTGCTTCTTTTATAGGAAGGCCATCCAATAGAGAAGCTGATACAGCCTTGGCGGAATTACCAGTTATACAGTGAAGACAGACAAATTAAAGTAATTGTCTCGTGCATCATCTTTTTCCTTAACTGGAGTCCTGCTGCTGAAGTCCTCGGGGTCAAGTCTCTCAGCTCCTAAAGAAAGCTGCTATCTAACCGATAGCAGTGCTCAGATGTCTGACAACACGTGACTACAAGATGGTAGAAGTGATCGGAACAGCTCATACATACACAGTGCACGTGTAGTATTGCTAATTAATGAATCCTGTCTCAGGAAGACCAGTAGGATAAGTGCAATTCAGAAAGTTTTTCTTCTCTGATTTCTATGCATAGATGGTAACAGCGTATCAGCTGGGTCTAACAAGTTTTTCTCTTGTAGTTCACTTGCAAAGCAGAGTCATGAAAAAAATCAGTCTCTGTCATGGAGACTGTGAAGAGCTGCTAATAGGCAAAATAAACGATTCAGGAGGGAAATCCCTGTGTAGCTCGCGTCTGCTCTGCTGGTTGTGAGCGCAGAAATGGTAAGCTGTGTTGGGCACACATCAAGCACGTGTGGAACTGCTTGCACTGTTGTTACGTGATTCTCCCCATCACTGTCCTGTTTACGTTGGATGTCGGTTGCAATCGAGTGTGAACTCTGTTTAGCACGGCTCTTTGTAGATGTGTATGCAGCACCCAGAGATATTGGTGGCTGGATACCTCTTTATAAAAGCATACCACAAAAAATCTAAATGACCTCCAACTGACTGGCAATATTCAACCTTTTTTTTTTTTTTTTTAGCAAAAAAAAAAAAAAGACTCAACAAATTCAGTTGAAGGACAAAATCTCTGCCCAAGCTGAGTGCTACCAAGGTCTGCGGTACTTTTCCACATGTCGCAGAACTGCTTTTGTGGAGAAACTCAGGCCAGTTTCCCCACAAAAGAAATGGAAGGATTTGCGATCACAATTGGGGAGGTCAAGCAAAGCAGCTCTCACGTCTGCAGCACACCCTGCCTTTTAACAGAGCAACCTGAACTGGTGCTGACTGGTTTGTCCTTGCCTGTGCTCACAATTCACTCTGCAGTAAGAGCCCTGCCTCGTGTCTGCTCTGAGCTGGACACAGGTGAAGATCTATCATTCCCCTCTGTGATTCCCCCAGAGAGGAACAGCCAGTGAACTCTACAACTGTCATCTTGGTGAATTTTCAGACAAAAAAACCTGTGGTGGAGAGTGGGTAGTCCTCAGGAATTTACCTACTGTCCCCAGAGTACAGCATGACTCCCTCGTTTAAAAATGCCCCACTCAAGAGCTCAGATCCAAAGGTAACGGGTTTAGGACAAGAACCTGAAAATGGAAAACCTCCATGGTGGTAATTTTTTTAAAACCATGTGGGTCACTTAATTATTTCACCTAGGCTCACCATTCACCCTGCCATAGCACATAGAGCCAAGGGGTGCAACTGCATCCCCCTCGACTCCTGCTCCGAAGTTGAAAACCACCTGCCTGGCAGTGGCAGCAGCATTTCTGCTCAGGCAGCTGAGGGCATCAGCTGAATTCATGGCTTGTGAAAATCGACCTGCTTCCTTCTAAACTCTTCATTCTGCTGGTATGAACCACCCTCCCTTCTTTCAGTGGTCTTGATGTGCCCCCATTAAGAGAGCCTTTCTTCTGCCGTGCTGCTGTCTGTTTGCTGCTCCTGGCAACACAGCTCCAATTTCACAGCCCGGGAGAACTCATTCCAAGGAAGTTTTATTTGGTTTTTTGCTTCCATGTGAAACTCAGTCGTCCAGCCCTAGGCCACTGGCATACGAATTAACCTTCTAGTCTATTTTTCCCCCAGAGAGAAACAGGTGCTGCACTCTCTGGGGTGATGCATCTGCAGCCCCTTTCCCAATCCTAGAGCTGCCCATGCTGGAGCCTGGGCTGGCACCTGTTCTCTGCTGCACCGTGCAGCACCTCCTGTGCTCTTGCTCGGGCTTTTTCCTTCGTAAACACCCTGACCCTACAGGCTGCAGTGGCTGAATGGGGTTGGGGGGGGTTCTTATACTGACAGTCAGGTGTCTGGGTTGTAGCCATATTGGTCTAGAACAGAAGGCAATTGGGACTCCAAGTAGAGATGATCTTTTATTAGACCAGCAAGATTTTTGCAAAAAAAAAAAGATGTCTTTAATTGCAAAGGTTCGGGCACAAACACCCTTCATCGGGCATTGGAGAAAGGATTGTAAATGTTCTCCTGGGTTGAAATGAAAGTTCATATTTCATAGGACTCCTCGGGGCAGTCTGTTCATAGCTGGTATGAAGCCTCTCACCTCCTGTGAGGATCTGTCATGATGCAAATTACCTTGAAACAGGCAGGAGCAGGATCTCCGGTTTCAGGTGGTCAGAGTTGCTTCCTGCTTGGGGAAAATATGAAGATTTTCATTTTTTCTAAATCGGCTAAAATTCAGTATCCTTCATATGTCCGGTATCCAGGTTGAAGCCATATTGGTCTAGAGGAAAAGGTAATTGGGACTCATAGTAGAGATGAGATCTTTTGTTAGGCCAACAAGAGTTTTGCAAAAAAAAGGCTTTCATTGCAAAAATTGAATTGCAAGATTTTTTGCAAGAAAAAAAAAGTGTCTTTAATGGCAAAAATGTAACTGCAAGATTTTTGCAAAAATCCTTGTCTACTAGCAGATCTCTCTGCTGCGAGTCCCCATTGCCTTGTACAGACAGTGTCTTTCATAGGCGAGCGTGGAGGTTTTGTGCCCTTCCCAGCACAGGCCGGGGCGGGCGGGAGGCTTGTCCGTGCGAGCCCCGAGGCAGCGCTGCCCAGGCTCCTCCCGGAGGAGGGAGGGAGGGAGGGGAAGGGCGGGCGGAGCCGGGCGCGGGCGGGGCGGAAGCGTGCCGGCGCGGGTGCTGAGCCGCCGCGTCGGACACAGCCTGGAGGCGGAGCGCGAGCAGTTCGACCGCAACCAGGCAAGGCCCCCGCGCCCCTCGGCCTCCCCGCACGTGGGCCCGGCCCCCCGGGCCACGAGGTCCCTTCCAGCCCCGCGCCCCGGCGCCTCTCTAGCGGGTGTCCTGCTCCCCTGGGAGGCGGCGGGCCCCCGGCCAGGGAGGGCAGGTTGGCTGGCCGCTGGCTAGCCCAGGGTCCGTTCGCACCTGACCAGGCGCGGCGCGGTTTTCTTCTGCACGAGGTAGAGTTAGTCTCCGGTCAGGAAAGGGTGCATTTGTACCTTGTAGACTAACCCGACTTGAGGGAGAGGTGTAGAAACAGGTGTCAGGGGCATTGGTTGTCGCGGTGTTGGGCTGAGGAAACAGGCAGGCGAGGTTCTTTGGGTCGATGTGATCTCTTTTATTAGACCAACAGTGCGGGCTTGAGACACTGTCATCTACCAAAGTAGAGCGATCCCGGGCACTCGCGGTGGGTGTCCTGCTCCCCGAGGAGGTGGCTCGGCCCCCGTGTCCTCCTGGGCACAGCCAGCACTGAGGAGGCCGGGCACGTCTGTAGACTCATTGACTAACCAAAGCATCTGTCTACTTTGGTTAGTCTGTAAGGTGCAAATCTACCTGGGCCTTCCCCTTGACTGCAGATGAACTATGTTTGCCCACCTCTCTTGTACGCCCTTGACAGCTTAAAACTCAGGGGTAGAGATGTCTGTGGATTTGCAGTTGTGCTTCTCAGCTTACGTTCGGTGGAGAAGCAGCCTGTCGAGACTCATGTTTTTGGGTCATTTTGGAGAAGCGCTTTAACAGGCCCGATGTGTGGGCCGGTCGTGTTATGGGTGGGACGGCCGGTCGTGTCATGCCTTTAACCAAGTACAGAGAGAGCACTTGTTCGCGGCAAGTCTGTTGGATTTGCTGCGGGGGGAGATCTGCGCCGGTAGCCACGTTCGCTGCAGTTCTGCCGGAGATGGAGAGCTGTGAACTGCGCAGTGGTCAAGAAAGGCCGGCTGCAGCCTAAAAAGGACACCAATGGGATCAAATAGTTTTACGCAACCTAAGTTTGCTGAGAGTTTTCCCTTCTATCGCTGAACAAGAGGCTGTCATTTCTAACTTGGCTGCCCGCGTGCTGCCTTCGTAAGTCATGTCGGCTATCCGTGCGCCAGTCAAAATCCAACGTTTGTCCACATCTCAGATAATTAAGAGATCAGTCCGGTTACAACCCATAAGGTAGAATACAAGGCTTTTGAAAAATATTTCAACGCTAAGCATTAGGGCAGTTACAAAATGTGGACAAAAGCATCCATATCGTTAAGGCCTTGTTTGTGCACATACTGGTGTAGAAAAGCATAATTACTCCTCCTGGACGTGCTTAAATAGCTCTGCGGATGATGCACAAAAGCAAAGTGCCCGTGTGCGTTCCTAAATCGGGGTTCGTGGTGCTGCTTGGGCTTGGGGGAGAATCCCCTTTCCCTTCGTGTTGACAGAGCAGTTCCCAATAAGCAAACCTGGTTGTGCCGGTTGCGGTGCTGATTAGAGAGGACTCTGCCCCTGCCCGTCGCTCGCTTTGTGACCCTGGATTTTGCGTCTTTCCGGGATGTCTCGGTGATGGGGCAGCCATGTTTGCTTGCTTGTTTGGCTTTGGCTCGAGCGGAATAATCGCGTGTACAAATGTGACGTCGATTTAAGTTTAAGCAACAGTCACGTGAAACGGTGGCTTGAGCTGAGCCGCGTAGCTTCCCTCCAGCCCTCCGCCCTTGTTGCAAAACCAAACCGTTCCCCCGTAACTCAGGTTCCAGGAGAGGAGTGTCTCTTCCCCTGCGCACGAACGCAGCTCCTCCCCATGTTAAGTTGGGGCTCTTGGCTCGCTTGTCACTGATGCCGGTGGCTATATCATTTGAAAGGATCGCCCAAGAGAACACAGTCAGCCCCGCGGAGGATATTTTCCAGTGGTGTTATCTCCTGGGCAAAAGCTCCAGATGTGAGCAAATTACCGAATAGAAAGTTTTATGGCACCGGCCTGACAAGGGACACCTGATCCTTTGGCACACAGCTGGGCCTCTGAAGGTTAAGGGAGCAGCAGCAGTAAAGATTGCTGAACCAGTAGTCTGTCTCCCCACAAAGCAGCTCAGGTGAGCGTGCTGCGGGCTGCCCTTCCAGTGACTTTGGTCCTGCCCTGCCATGATCACCCTAGTTAAAAAGGAGGCTGTCCCGTCCTGCCGTACCATAAGCCGCTCGTTTCTGTAGACTAAGCACACAAACCCTGGTTTGTTCCACTCTTGAGCCTATCGAGGGTGCCCTCTGGGAGGGGAAAGGTCCAGGATGTTAAATGGAGCCACGCTGGTCATTGTGAAAGTGCAAGGGAGTTAGGCGCCCTCCTTGTGCCAAGTGACTCAGAGAGGGAAGAGCAGGAGCAAAAATAGGTGGGGATGCCTGGCTTCCCAGTGCTTTGCACCTGGGGGATATGGGGCAAGTCTGGGAGCATTTCTACCTCCTTTTCATTCAAGAAAATAACTGCAGCAGTCATTTGATCGCAGGTGGCAGGCAGGATGGCCCAAAGCACTGTGAATGGGAGGGGGAGGCCACTGAGAGAGGCAGGGCGGGAGGTGAGGACTGAGCGCTCCTGCAGCAGCTAGTCACGGACAGGGCTCTCATTTCTACTGCTTCTCATGTGCTGCAAACAGGCCGGTCTGCCCTGCGGTGTGCAAACCTGCTTCCTTCCCCTCCCTGGGCAGCTCTGCAGAAAGATCTGTAGAGCGATCAAATCCTTCTCAGACAAGGAAGTAGCTAGTCGGTTTCTCCGTGAAATAATGCATGCAGCCTCGTGGCCTTGCCTCGATGGATCCCAGTTTGCTTTTAAGCTGACCTGCTGCTTCAGACTATAGGCTGCTGTGTCGTCAGGATTCCTGCTCAAAGTAGCCTGTTCCCCATGCCCTGGAGAAGGCAAGGCGTGCAACAACGTGCCATGGACGTGCAAAGCTACCAAAAGCCCTGGTGCTACTTTCCTCCTAGTCTCCCTTCTGCTCTGGATCGGGACGCTGTTGGGGCCGGAGGGTGCAGTAAGGCACGTGCAGTCACCCCAAGACACTGCCGTATGCCTGACCTAGATGTACACACCGGGTATTGGCTCACAGCCGTCCAGGGGGGTGTCATGCGATCACAGTAACGCTGTACCCTCGGTCTGGCACTGGGGCCAAAATCTCATCCATCGCTAGGAATAGTCAGCGCTCCAGTGCTGGCTGTGTTTTGTGCCGGGCATACGCAGAGGTCCATCCCCTGCCCCAAAGAGCCAGAAGTCTAAAAGATCATGGGCACCATGCCCCACATTGCTTCCTAGTCTGCTTACTGCTTGCTAAATCTTTCTCCCCTGCAACAGACCAACTTTAATGTTAGGACTGTCTGCCACAACAGCTGCAACCCTAGGAGCAGAAAGAGGTAGAGTAGTTAGCTGTGTTAGTCTGAAGTCAGGCAGAAAGGCAGGGGAGACTTCGCCTATAAGGTGCAATTCTACCCTGTAAGTGTAAGACCAGAGAGAGAAAATTCCCCTGATGATTTTTTTATTACTATTTTGTGCATCTGACATCCCGTTGGATCGGGTCACTCCCTTGGTTTCCCCTGTAGTCTTTGTGTGGGTTTCACACCCAGACGCAAGGGAGGGAGAAATAGAAAAATAGAATCATAACCCAGTAATTAGCTGACGTGACGGGTTGCTGCCCAAAGCTAAATTACTCATCCTACACTGGCTAGATTTCAGATGGATTGAAGTTTTGTTTGTGTGCCCACTGGTCTGTCTAGGACCAGATTTCCAAATAACTTTGTGGCAAATAAACCTAATTTAGTGTCTACAAGCAGGTATCTTGAGAAATTGTTTTCACTATAGTAATTCTCTTGCAAAGGGCATGGATAGTGATGCCCCATACAGTTAAATCAAACCTTAGTTCTGTCTGGAAGGTGCAGGGGTCCCTTTAAATGTATTGCTGCTGCAAACGATGGTGTAAGTAGGGTAGCTGCAGGAAAGTGTCTCAGTTAAATTTGTGCTCGGAAATCCCAGACGTCTCTAGCTAATACCGGTACCACTTGTACAAAACTGACCTCCTTTCTTCGTACCACGACCTGACCAGCCCAGGCCCCTTCACTGTCCTATGGATGAATGACTGAGCTCCATGAATCAGAAGTTGGCAGCATCCTAAAACTTCAGAGCATTAATCTCAGCAGCTGCCGTAAGTAATGACTAATTATTGACTTTATGTCAGGTGGAGCTCCAGCGTGTCACGTGGAGCGGGCGGTGCCCCTCGCTGTGCCACGGGTTTGACAGTGTTCTTGCAAGCATTGGCCGGAGGCAGAGCCGGTGGTTTTTGCTGAAGAGCGTGTCCCTCAAATATTCCGACGTTGCAATTGAGAGACTGAAACCGAGTGATCGGTTCCAGGAACTTGTAGCGATTGGCCCCTCCCGGCTTTTGAGATTATTTGGGAATGGAAATTATACATTCCTCGCCTCCCCGTCACTGGCTTTACGCATCCTCCGCCCAGACCGGCTGGGAGCAGGTGCCAACAGGGAGATGACGCCATCCTGACGGAAATGAAGCTTGTTCGGATGCAGGCGCCGGGGCCTGAGCATACCTTCCGTTTCATAATGAAATTTCTTCCTTGCATAAAGCCGAGAGGTGCCTGTCCCTCTCCTGACTGCCCCTGTTGCTCATCCGGAGTCACTTCCTTCGGGATAATATCCATTCCCCTGTGGTGTCTTCTCCCTTTGCAGGAACACGCACTTTAAAAGCCAACGCTAGCTTTGAGATGGGATAGTGCAGTCCAGTCCAGCAGGTGCTGGGAACTCCAGCTTCCTCCTCTTGGCGCTCATACTACTTATAGAAGTATTTTTTCATGCTGTTTGCTCCTTGTACTCAAGACCATCATTTCAGGGTTTCGTGCACTTAGCTCAGCAATGTGGTGTTTGGGCTGTTGGTGCTTGCAGGGCACAGGGAGGCTATTTGAATTTGAAATATTTCGGGCAGGAGTTCCTTTGACCCGAAGGTTTG